AACAGCAGCTCTATTGATTAGTAGTATTTCAAACCAAAAACACGAACGAATAATTATTTTTTTGTGTTGTTTGTGTTCGGCTCGTTAACTTAGTGAACAAGCCGAGCACGAGCTGTTCGCGAATAACGAGCCATTTTGACAGCCCTACGTACATACCATACAATTCTAATATATTTATATGTCTAATATCAAAATTTTAATATTTACATGCTTACCACTCAAATCCATAGCATCGCATCAAAAATACCTTAAATTCATAAAATTCAAATGTTTAACATCATATTAAAATATCATTTTTATTGGGTTGTTTGGCCAGTAACCGCGTTGTTTGGCCAGTAACACAAGCATCACAGCCTAGCTGCCTGCCGCCGCTAACCATCGCCATCATTTGCCACTAACCATTGTTTGGCCAGTAACCGCCGCTAACCATCGCCATCATTTGCCACTAACCAACACATGTTTATTTTATGTTGAATTCATTTTGGTTCATTTCAAACATGAAAATATTAAGTCTTACATTTATTCACGTAGAACCAAAAAATTCTAAAATTTTCCAAATACAATATAATAGTTTAACATTTCATCAATCCTTTTTCAACCAACTAAATATTTGCTAAATTTTGAAGTCATAGATAGTTTATAGCTATAAATGTCAATATCAAACTTTAGACGTTTGATATGTAAATCAATAACTTTTGTGGAACATATTTCAAATTTTTTTAAGAAAATAATTTTAATAATTTGTATTTGGGATTTGCAAATTTGCTAAACTTTGATAGTATTTATTATATTTTTCTTACCCAATATTAAAAGAAGTTTTTTTACTTTATTAGACTTATATTAGTAAAAAACTAATGAAATAAATCTTTTATTTATTCTCGTAAGATAATATGCTTGAACTTCCCCTCCCTCCTAATCAAGATTCTCCCATAATCGCATAAAGTTAGAACTCTTGTTTTGTATGTGTCATGTGATCCTTTTTCTTCACCCCACTTTGTTTGATTTTAGCAATTGCATAGTACACATTATTGGTCTGTGATGAACGACAATCTGGTGATGTTTTTCATTTTAGGAAACTAGATGACATATAGTCTCTTATATTTTAAATTTTTAATTTTATTGCCACTGGATTTCTTATACTGTTTGATCACATTTATCTATAAATTATGAATTGATAGAACTATAAAAATAATTTTTTAATTATGACAAAATATGATTTAAATATTTTTTCATAATTCTCAAAAATGATCGATCTATTTTTTAATATTTCTTTACACCGTCTTTATTTAATGACTGAGTGAGTTTCAAACATTTTCTTATGCATGATTGGACTTCCTTCGAACACCTTCAGCAAATGATTGAACATTCTTCAAATAGTTTTCAAACATTTATGGAACCTTCTTTAGGCATGAATAAACCATCTTCAAATTTGATTTGTTCATAATTGAAATTGTTGAATAATATACTATATCTCAGGCTTTTCCCATGACATGTCATCATCTAATTGTAACTCCCATCCATTGAAGCTTAATTCTTCAAGTTTGGACCCTTCAATTACGAAAGACTGATCTTTGGCATTTTGACTTATCATATTAATCGAGTGGTTTTCTTAATGGCTTATGGTTCTAATGGTGTAATTAACTATACGAGCTTGTAATTGTAGGAACAAGACCCTAAAATCAAAGTAAACTTTATCTTTAATTATGGGAAGAATCCTGGTTTTGTAGACCCTAAAGTTTTCTCTTATTCAAATGATCAAATCCATTCTAAGTTAATATATCTATATTTCGGGATAGTACATTATTCTTTGAATGTCGTGCTTTATTATTTAGATAAGAATCTTTTGAGATCTATTGTAATCCCAAACAAATCAAAAAAAGAAATCATCACCAAGGTTTCTTCTGACAGCTCCGCTGGGGAAATTATTCTCCTTTCCATCTTTCATGATAAGTTCATCAGATTCTTTATGGGTCCGTCAAACTGATATGAAACTTTGGGTCCTATCCTGTGTCCTTATTCCTTGAGTATTCACCTACTCATTTAAAATATACATTTTCATCATCAATATTCCTTGAAAGATTTCTAGTCTAACTCTAATCTCTATTTCACTCAAAGAGTTTTTTGAAGATTCTACATTGTGTCTCTATTGATATCATTTTGTACACATTAAAGACAAGATGTCTTATAAACTTATTTTCTCCATCGGAAGTGGAAGTAACCTATCCTTTAACCTAAACTATTTGAACGGTGGGTTCCTAATCAAGTTTAGATTAGGCTACAATGAATCTAGCTGCTCCACAATTGATAAAGAATCCTCACCATATTTTGATATTGAATCAGAAGAAGACTTTCCGTAATTTAAAAAGAAGGTTGTTAAGACAGCTACTATTATAACCGTTGTTGTTGTTCCTCAAACTTCTAAGAAATTGGAAATTAAGAAAACTACTGATTCAATTTGTGAACTACTCCAAACATTAATGATCTTCAAGATTGGTCCACCCAACAAAATCACATCTATATTAAGTAAAACTCAAAGGTTGAATTAGATAGGAGACTCCACAAGAAAATCACACGGATATTAGAAAAAATAGAAAACCTGAAATCTAACACCTCTCCTTGCCTTAAAGGAAGTAGGTTTCATTTGCTCTTCACTGCTCAATAAAAAGAAAAAGTCCATATTATATCAAAATTACTTCCACCCAAATGCAAAACCCCTAGTTTAAAAAGAAGAAAATCACATATACCTAGACTCTACAAAGTATTGAGAACATCAAGATACATGAAAATTCTTCTAATGTTGAAATCCTCTGTGTTATAGAGGCAATTGTATCTCGAAACAAGAAAAGAAGGTTGCTAAAGTATGAATGGTAATCAAAACAAGTCTTTACATGATTTCCATTGTGTCCATCATACTGATTGTTGCATAAACTTCTCCTTTTATTTTGATGTACCCACTAAAGGCTTGGATCCCAAGCCGGTTGTCACTCGATGCTCCTTCTTATGTTCTTTCATCTCAAAAAACTAGTATCTAAAGTTCCTGTTAAATCATCATATGCAAAATGTGAATCACCTTCCAAACGAATGATATGGGAGTAAAACCCTCACTGCTTCCCATCTCATAAAATTTAGGGAAGGTATTGATGCATCAAAACTTACCAAGTAAGTTTGTCACACTACGTAAGTATAAGTGTCTAATAATAATGTGGTTATATAGTACCGCGTATCGATCTCACAAAGAAAGTTTAATAATTATTTCTGCAGTAAAATCTCTAGTTTCTGAATCCAATGAATTTAGCTTGGCGATTTCACAAAAAAGATTTTTAAGTTATGAACTTAATGAAACATAATAAATCGCAAACAGCGGAGACATAAAAAGTGAAAAAAAATATATTAAGAGTTCATTCAAGATAGATGAGGCTCTTGCCTCTGTGTTTTTGGGATCATGGTGATTGTAGATTTCTTAAATGTTTTCCTACGTGATTGTTGCCAATTGGGGATATGTTACTTTTTATGCCTATGTCAAGGTCAAAAATTCTTAGAACCCATGAATTTGAGGCATTCTCAACCCTCATGGCATTCCACATGTTTATTCTGATCATCAGATAGATAACATAATTCTACTGAAATTTTTCTATTCTCTCAAGATTTTTTGGTTAACCCTTTGTTTCCACTATGCGATGGTTAGAAGTCATAACTTTATGAAATATTTTAACATCCTAGTTAATCAGACTGAGAGTAAATTAAAATCAGAGGTTAATCGATGACATAATCCATTAAACCATGTGAAATACTACATGGAAAAAATCTCAAAAGACCACGAAGAAAACTACTACCCCTGCATCACAGAGACATGAAGAAAAGACTAGCCACACATTATTGAGAAAACCAAAGACATAAAGTCAATGCAGATCTTCATTTCAAAAAATAAACAAGAGTAAAAACTTAAAATAAAACTTTTCTTCTCTACTAGGGAAGCACCTTTTTCTCTCATATAATAGATCTCTCAATAGCTCACTAGAAACTCAAAGGAAGAAAATCCTCTTAAGGCTTTAATCCAATGAAAGAAGAGAATCCTAATGGGAACGCTTTTCTAATCTCTCCCCAACCTTTATTATAGCTTTTAGCCACTAAATGAAACCTATGATTGTCCTTATGAGTTAATTTATAGCCAAGCTCGTTAAAGACAAGAGAATTGTTGCCAAAATTGCTTTCTACAAACTGACGTGAGTGTGCCTCAAAGATTGTGCTAGTGCATTTGGGACGATGCAAGTGTGTTGTTACTCAGGTACGGATGTGTTGATGGGTTGAATAGAGGAGTAGGTGCAAGCGCGTGGGGTCTGGCAGCGTTACTTTAAATTGGGTGATACTACTGAATATGATGCATGTGTTTGGTATTTAAAGGTGGTGTGCCGAATAGACAGTATGAGTGTCTCAAGCTGAAATCTTTATACTCTGCTCATTCTCGGTATCTTTTTGCTCCATTTATTTTTTGTTCAACCTATCCCTTACAAAATTAATACAAACATATATTTTTTAAGCATTTTATAGTATAAAAAAAT